CCCCGTATAAGAATTCTAAATCCGATCGTCCTGATTCTGAATCGGGGCAGCCGGATTCCGAATCGGGCGGATTCCAAAAACGGGTACAACATATACAATTACGAAAAAAAATCATAGATTCATAACTATGGTCAAAATTGCAGATCATTTTACCAGATTTAAAATTGGTTTGTTCTAGATCTGGCCAAATGAATGCAAATTTGACCAGAATTATGAACGATGAGTTCCTCTATTTATCAGATTACGATATGATTTCATAATTAATTATTTGTCACGGATGATCGTGAAGTTGGATGATGGTGAAATTTGGATCTATTTTATGTACGATTTTTAAAAATTTTTGGGGCCTTTTTTGTCGGCTTTTTTTTTATAGTTAAGTTAGGATTTAGGGTAGGGATGTTGGTCTTAGACTAATGGACCACAGTTAGCCTTAAGACCAGTTTGAACTCGGAAAAAATTGTCTTAAGACTGGACCAGTCTGGACTGGTCTGAACTAACAAAGTCTTAAGAATGGAAACCATAATAGACCAGACCAGACCTAGACCAAAATAGACCAGGCTGGACCAGACTGGACTGTTAACATACCTAATTTAGGGTTAGGGTTATTAGTAAAAGAATATAGGTAGATTTTAGTAGGGCTTATATTTTCAAATCGAGACCCCTAAATTTCACCATCATCCGATTTTACAATCATCCGCGACATTATTTTTATCAATCGAAAATTAAAAATCTGGCAGCGACTATAATTTTAGCTGGCTGGCTAAACCGCTCGATTCGTCTAAGATCTTCTATGGTTATAGCCGGCTATAACCGGCTATAGCTGTAGCCGTTCCCATCCCTACCCGGGATGTTATTTCGCGGTATATACTTGTTGTAGGTGGGAATAGAATTTAAATTGATTCGGAATTTTTAAGGTTAGGATTTTTAGTATAATTATTCCGTTCTAATCTAAGTGGATTCCGAACCCTATTATCGTTCCATTCCCACTTACAACATATATAATATTCAAGAAAAGTCAGTTAAAAACAAAAGCTAAACTTTTTTACAAAATTAATCTACTTGCGCGTTCTCATAATTCGAGGATAATACCATTACATTATTTATAAAATAATTTTACAATAAATACCCATATATTACAATATATATTCGTCCCAATTTAAAACATGAGAATGTATATCAGGAAAAGATATTTCAGTTTCACACACACTAGAAGCCCCAACTCCACTATCTTCCATTGTTTCACTTTCCCTATAAACATTACCTTTTTTCTTCTCAAGCCTATTTGTAATGTCCACATTAACACTTGATGTTAATTTATTTAATTTAGCCCTATTATTCCCTCGATTAAAAATGTTACGGATCCATCTTTTCAGAGTACCAAAGAATCGTGGGGTTTCACCCCATTCTGAGTAAAATTCTTGATTTTGCTGCAGATTAATTATATCTAAATCATAACGATCGAATAAAGGATCATTATTTTCATCAAGT